CCAGGGCAGGAGACCTCAGGCCACACCCCCCGCCCCGGCGCCAGGCTGGGGGACCTCAGGCTGTGCCCCCTGACTGGCAGAGCTTGATGGGGGACCTCAGGCCTCATCCTCCGCCCAGCACTGGGCCAGGGGACCTGAGGCTATGCCCTCTGCCTGGCCGAGCTTGACAAGAGTGGGGCTGGCTGGGTTAGGATCTCACCCAGTGGGGGTGGGGCCAGATGGGTCTGGGTCTTGCATGGTTTTGAGGTGCTTCGGGTGGGTGGGGACTTAACTCTGGGTCCTGCAGTGCGCCCCAGGCTCTGACAGGAGGAAGATTTTCATATACATTTTACTAATTTTCTTTCATCTCTGATACTTCTATTATAGAGAAAGGGCAAATAGCAATCCTATATATTAAAAGAGAAACATGCAAATTAGCTGTCCCGCCACTATGCTGAAGCCACGCCCACAAGTCACACCCACCAGCCAATCCAAGTGACTATGCAAATTATCTGACAAAGATGGCGATTAATTTGCATATGTAGGTGCCAAGTGCCCCAGGAGGTAATGGCAGCCATGGCCGTGGGCTCCCAAGACTTTCGCCAGCCCCAGGAGGCAAGGCCATAGCCACGCCCATGGGCTCCCAAGACTTTCGTTAACCGTCACTCTGCGACAAAGATGGCAACGCCTATAGTGGCCGGGCGGGACGCTGGTGGCATTGCCCCGGCAACACAAGTCCAGTGACTGGCCTGGCTGCATGGAGGGAGAGGAGGGCAGGGCCTCAGGCCAGAGTACATGACAAGGAACACTGGGCTTACAGGGTCTGCCTCCAGGGATGCCCAGTGTCCATGCCCCTCCCGGGCAGAGGAAGGGGAGGGCAGGGTCTTTGGGCCGCAGTCCACGGCAAGGGATTCCGGGTTTGCTGTGATGCCAGCCCAGAGTCCACACCAAAGGAGGGGAGGGGAGGGACCTGGGGCCAGAGTCCCTGGTGAGGAATGCTGGGCTTACAGTGACGTGTTCAGCTTTAGAAGTTATTTACTATCAGTAAGTAAATAACTTCTAAAGCTGAACATGTGTGCTTTGCCGGGTGAAGAGAGGGGAGGGCAGGGGCCTCGGCCAGAGTCTGCACCCCAGTTGGGCAGAGAGAGGAAAGGAGAGGGGCCTCGGGCTGGAGTCCGTGCTAAAGGAGGGGAGGGGAGGGGCCTTGGGCCAGAGTCTGCACCCCGGACGCACATAAGGAAGGGAGGCCAGGGGCCTCTGGCCACAGTCCGCATTGAGAGATGCTGGCATCATTGCAGGCCAGGCTGAGGGGACCCCCCCATGCATGAATTTCATGCATCAGGCTACTAGTATTAAAATATTTCCTCTAATTAATCCCTTTTAATGTGCATGAATTTTGTGCACCGGGCCACTAGTATTATCTATAAAAAATCACAGGTTTGAATCTTATAGTCCTACTAGAGGCCCGGTGCATGGATTTGTGCACTGGTGGGGGCCGTGGCCTGTGGGGATTGGCCTGCTGTGGGAGTGCCACTTATCCTGGTCAGCCAAGTGGCTGTGGACCTGCCCTCTGAGTGGATGCTCCCACTGTGGGAGCACACTGACCACCAGGGGAAGCTCCTGCTTTGAGTGTCTGCCCCCTGGTGGTCAGTGCACATCATAGTGACTGGTCAACTGGTTGTTCTAGTCATTCTGCCATTTGTTCACTGAGCTTTTATATATATATAGATGAAATAGATATTCATTATATACCCCCAGTGGTTCTCATGCTATGAAGTTTCGGATCCCTAAGTTCTGATCTATCAGTATTTGTTTGTTTGTTTAGTATATAAATTTCTTTTTGTGTTGTTTATTATTTACTCCTTATTGTTCTTTTTCTATTTTCTTCTACATGTCCTGTTTTAGATGTTCTTTGTATGCATTACAGATTACTTCTTTTATAAATGGAGATTATAGATTTATGTACAGATGTGTGAAAAGAGCCCTAACAGACTAAGTCTGCATTCTAGCTCCTCCAGATTTCAGTAGTCACTCAAAGTCTCTGTCTTTTCATGCTAGAATGAGAGGAGTGGTTCATTTGCCCTCACTTTTTGAGTATCATTGAGATATGAAGCACATGAACCCAACATATGGTATTAGTTCATTTACAAAGAAAAACTATTTCAGAACATCTAGGTAATAAACTGGGGGATATATGAAAAAGTAGTCACTGTGGTGTAATTCTGACTTTTTAAAATCAAGATATAAAGTCAATCATCAATGAGTTTTTATTGACAGTATTTTGTCAAATTCTTTATAGAAAAACATATTCAAATGTTAGCAAATGTAATATGAGCTAACCATAAATTCTAGAGTTAAAAAAACACACATTCTAAACAAATGGAAGAATGTACCGTGTTCATGAATTAGTAGAATCAACATCATTAAAATTTCCATACTACCCAAAGCAATTTATAGATTTAATGTAATCCCCATTAAAGTACCAAGAGCATATTTTAAAGTCCTAGAACAAACTCTCCAAAAATTCATCTGGAATATAAAAGGACCCCAAAAAGCCACAGAAATTCTGAGAAAAAAGACCAAAGTTGGAAGGATCACAATACCAGATATCAAGCTATATTACAAAGCCATGGTTCTCAAAACTGCCTGGTACTGGCACAAGAACAGACATATAGAGCAATGGAACAGAACAGAGAACCCAGAAAGAGACCCAAGACACTGTCCAATCAATATTGCACAAAGTAGGCTAGAGCATACAATGGAATCAAGACAGTCTCTTCAATAAATGGTGCAGGGAAATTTGGTCAGATATGTGCAAAAAAATGAAACTAGATCACCAACTTACACCAAACACGAAAACAAACTTTAAATGGTTAAAGGACTTAAATGTAAGATGGGAAACCATAAAAACCTTAGAAGACTCCATAGGCAGCAAAATATCAGACATATGCCAAAGCAGTATCTTCAGTAATACAGCTCCTAGGGCAATGGAAACTAAGGAGAAAATAAACAAATGGGACTACATTAAAA